TGTGCGTGCGTGCGTGCGTGCGTGCGTGCGTGCGTGCGTGCGTGTGCGTGCGTGCGTGCGTGTGTATATATAATAAGCTTCTATAAGGCATGACTTAGGAATCCTCAATTTCTTCAATATCAATGACGCCGGCGATCTGGTAGTTACGTATGCACCTGATAGTTGACGAGTGAATAACAGGTGCCACCGTTCATACAGGGCTACCGGATGCAAGGGACGTTTGGATACTCGCAATCTTGCCCCTTCCACCCGTAGTTACACGTGCAAACGTATGGCCTGTCACCATAACCCCTAGATGAGAACAAAAGAAATCATCGATTCATTGACGTGCTTAGTAACTTATTACTCATCATTACTTTTATTTACATATTATATTATCTGTTAGACAGTTAAAACAAACATTTCGTGCACAATGGGGCATCAGATTTTAACGATTACAACATTTAGTGAATAATATCCGATGAAAACGCGTGGAAAACCACCATATTTTGCGACGTATTAGCTTTAGTCTAGCGCACCATGTGCGTTGCATAGCATGTTTATTACTCTATTTCATTGCTATAATTATCACGATGTTTGTTCCTTTCACAGAAATATATGGATACACTATAATTCTAGTAGTACCTATATTATTTCTATGGTTTCTTCGCTAACACAATGCTCTTAATACGCGCTTATAAATTATTTACCCCGATAGATGGCAGGACGCCGCAATATTTCATAACACTTCAATACATTTCATTACATTGATTTCATACGGCTTTTATATAGAGAGAGACACCACGTAAGAGCATTATGTCAAGTGTAGTATTTTCTACCTAAGTCCTATAGTTTTCATCTCTCGTCTCGTATAAAATGTGACCCGCTCCAGCAAAACCAGGATTAAGTAGGAAATTCTACAAATTGAGTTATGTGCATATCTGAATAGATCATTTAATTACCTTTAAAATTATATATAATATTTGGCTATATCTAAAGAATTGACCGATCTACAGCAATTTGAAGATCGGAAACCGACTTATTCCGGAATATGCAGCTTTTGAGATTTTCTTTTCTTTTAATTAAAAATGACCATAATAATCTAGAGATATCTGAACCTATATATCCGGATTAAATATGCACTTAGAAACTTATTTTTGTAAAATTTCATTTTTGTCCAGGTAGGACATTTTCAGCATTGACATGTGTGCGTGCTCATTACTCAAAACAATGACTTGCGACTTAGTCCGTATTATGCTGGAGCGGGTCACAAATGCAGTGTGGTTGCGGAGTGATTGTCCGTGATTGTGGAGATATTGTGGACAATTATAATTAATCGTAATTTAGTAACTCAGCAACTTACTTAGTTAACTTAAAGTACTTAGGTAACTTAGTAGTACAGAAACTAACGGGGAATTAATTGCGTTGCTGCGGAGGACATACCAATCACACGTGCCGCCATGTTGGCACGGATCGGTGTTGCACGGGTTGTCGCGGATCTCGCCCGGTCTCTTCCCGTGAAGCCGTGCATGCACGTGCACATGTACGTCGTCTGCGTCGCGTCCCTAGCAACATGCGGCAGAGGAGAGGGTTAATCACAGCAAAGGTTATAGAGGGTCAATAAAAGCAAACGTTATGAAGTAGGTGAATTAGATTGAAGGCGACAAAGTGCAACGAAAGTAAACGTAGTTTTGGGGTATAATGAAAGCAAACATCGCTGCTGCTACTGCTGTTGCTGTTACTGCTGCTGCTGCTGCTGCTGCTGCTGCTTCTACTGCTGCTTCTACTGTTGCTACTGCT